AGTCCTAGGCCCCCGTTTATGGTTAACCAGTAGTGTTAGGTACAGCTGGTTACAGTCAGGTAATAAAAATCATCACATATCGGAAAGCCGGGTCCCAACAAATTTTTCATATTTCCGTTGTGTGACTTAAGCTATTACTCTTGTTACTAATTTTAAAAAGCTCTAAGAGCCTACTTAGTTATGTGGACTTGAAAAATTTCTCGTTTTCACCTCCGTTTTTTCCTCCCAGAAAATACACTCTCTAAAAGCAAAAACTTCCTTCTATCTTTTTTAAGAACTGAGCGTCTTTTCGGTCTATGTGAAGGCTCAAATATTTAAATCGCTGTATTGTTTTTTAAGTCATAACGTTTCCCCTCGTCTTCCCTTAGTTTTTAGAAATCAGCTGCCCAGGAGAAATGACTTCTACTCCTATGAGCCACCTTCCGAGGATCCTCCTCCAGAGACAGGAGAATCCGTGTGCCTCCAGCTCAAGTCTGGTGTTCATCTCTGCAGGGTTTGTGGCTGTGTAGGCCCCAAAACATGCTCGCGATGTCACAAGGCACATTACTGCAGTAAGGAGCACCAGACTTTGGACTGGAGATCGGGACATAAGCAGGCTTGTACACAAGTAGGTCAGTCCGTCCTTTTTTTAAATTTTAAAATCTCAACTCAGTTTCTTAGCGTCTGGCAACCCAAATCTTTCGTTTCGAGGATAAAGGTTAACATTGGAAAAACTGTAATGCTTTTCAAAATCTTGGTTAACTGATAACATGAACACATTCATGAAGGAGGAGCTGTGAGGTCTTGCCCAGCCACATATGTTCCAGACCTGCTTAATGTAGTCATTTAATTTATGACCCATAACCTAAAATGCCAGAGCTACGTATGTTAGTTTACTGGGGAAAACTGTTATGCCATGGAATACACTTCAGAAACAGGAAATTATTCCACTTTCAGAAACTAAATGATTGCTAATGATGCTAATTACTTTATTTTGTTTCAGATAATTTGGACAGTACAGTTCCAGACCACAACTTCCTTTTTCCAGAATTTGAAATTGTAATAGAAACAGAAGATGAAATTATGCCTGAAGTTGTGGAAAAAGAAGACAAATCAGAGATTATAGGGAGCATGGGTAAGGAGTCAGTTTCAGAACTTCATTAAGTGATTAAATCTAATGCTTCAAAGAAAGGGCTTGATATGTCAAGAAGAGAGGTACTGAGAGGAAAAAGTCAACTCACTTTGGAGGCTGCAGCCTGTACTTTACAAATATTGCCTTATTTGAAAATACCCTTTCTGTACCTCCCTGCCTTAGCATATATAAGGTACGTTCTGGTTCCTATTAAAAATGTGTTAGAGGAAGTATCCAGGCAGGGCTGCCCAAGATGCTGGAAACTTGGAAAGTTCATCGGCCTCCAAGATTTGTTATTCAGATTGAGATGGTATATGTGACAGTGCCTGGCACAGTGTTTGGTGGACGGCAGGGCCCTTTAAAAGTCAGTTTCTGTTTTATCTGGCCAGTTTCAGATAGTGGTTTCATCAGTTACCTCAGGATTTTCACACTCTAGAGCAGTGCCTATTCTGAGAGACTGAGTAGCAGCCAGAATTTATCCAACACTTACTCTGCACCAGGAGCTTTTTTGGGGGCAAGATCTTATTAAAATCTTGACATCCCAACAATATATTAGAAACTGTACCCCATTTTGCAGTGAGGAATTTCAGGTTCTGAGTATAACTTGTTTGGTCATGTAACTGACCAAAGTTGTTAAGTTTTAGAACTGGAGTTTGAGCTCACATCTTACTGACTCTAGAACTTAAGCTCTTAAACAGCACAAAATGTAGATTTTAGAATCTAAGTTAGATTTTAGGTTAGAATGTCAGCTTACTGGTTTAAGTTCACACTCAGGATATCAAAAATCTCCTGAGTTACAAAGACTAAATCCTACTGGAGACAGGTAGCTGGGATTGCAGACGTGTGTGAAGAGTGAGCTGGTAGGTCCACGGTGAGCATGTGGTGATGTACCAGTGGGGAAAGGAAAGAGGAGACACAAAGACGTTTGAGATAAGACGGTTGAAGGACAGTAGTGACCGGAAGGGCTCATGTTTGCTGGCTGTCCCATCATGTGCTGGGCACTGCAGTCCTGAGCCTGAGACTTAGGTCTGGTCTTTTAATTGGAAACTTTAAGGAGAAGCTCTTAAAGTAGGAGCCTGCATAATAATAATGCTTCATGGAGTATCTGGAAATTCAGATGGTCTTTTTAAAGCACAAACATTAATGAATTAAAATAGGGAAATCCTGTGGAAACATCTGGCCTTCACAATCTGATTTAACACTAAGTTGGTTGTTAAAAGCTGGCTTCCCTCAGCATATGTGAATTATCAAGACATGGGGATTATTCCTATTGCCATAACACATTGATGATTTTTCAGATGAAGCACCTGAGGAAGAATTGGACTCCATGGCAAAACATGAGTCTAGAGAAGATAACATTTTCCAGGAATTTAAAGCTAAAGTATCCCTTGAACCGGAACAGGTAAAATAGAACTCATCTATAGCTGCTTCTCGTGTTCTTTTTAGGTGGTGTTTTTGGGGTCTAATCCCTCTGCAGAAGTAAATCTGTATAATAAAAGTAGTCTCATGTTTACAGGAGTCCTTGACACAGATGGTCCGTATGGAAAGGTGTTTCTGAAGTGCTGATCCTTTTAATAGTTGTTGAAAGACTAAAGGTTATACTGTTTATCATATAAGATTCATTTTCTAAAACCATGAGGGATAGAAGAGCAGTAAGATGTTGCCCGTGATATATGGAATCTGGGTGCCAGTGGGGAAAATAAAGAAAAGAAACTTCTGACAGTTTTTCCAACAGGGACCTCTGCTTACGAAACCAACCTAACACTTTAGCACAAAGACCACTGTGGCCTTGTGAAAAGAATTACGGGCTTTGGTGTTATGAAAAATTCTGGATCCTTGAGTTACACAGTGACTTTCTGATGTAATCGTATCTATGGTGCAGAAAAAAAAAAAGAACGGTGGTTTTAAGGATTAAGGTAGATTACAGGCTCATAGTGAGTATTCAGCAAATGTTTCCCTTCATCTCTGTTCTTTCATTTATATTATTCCCCTTAACTTCCCTCATCATTAACGTAAGTCCATAAAGAAGACTCAGCTAAGTTCCCATAAACCGGTCACTAGATCAGATAAATGTCCAGGAGCTTTATAGGAAGAATAGATTTAGGTCCCAAATACTGAGAAGGTGGTTTTAGCAATGCATATGCTTTTAACAAGATACATCTAGGAAAATCACTCAAGTTGTTATATACGATCTTATTATCATGAAATTTACTTCTGTTGTATTTATCTAAACACTGTGTTTCACTTGGTATTTGTCCCTTTCACAATTTTAAAGTAAGGTTCTTTTTTCTGTGTGAAGGTAAGCACAGGCTCTGGGCTGCATTTTAGATGCACAACCTGAAAGAGGATTATTGTTAGTTCCTTTACAAAATACTCATAGCATTCAGATTCTAGCCATATTGTCATCTAAGAAATATAATTTTGACATCCTGAGTCAGATAGGCTGGAAGAATGACTTTGATGACACTGAGGAGGCATTAGTGGTGCCAGGTCTGAGGAGGGAACAGTAAACTGGCTTTCAGATGGCTGTTTCATCAGCTGTAGGAGTATGTATAGAGTTTCTCTAGATGATCCTCAGGTCATGTGAGATTTTGGTGATTTAAACTGACCCTAATTGATTTTAGGTTCTCAGATATGGCAGAGGGATTGCCCCCATCTGGATCTCTGGTGAAAATGTTCCCCAGGAAAAGGATATTCCAGATTGCCCCTGCGGTGCCAAAAGAATGTTTGAATTCCAGGTATGACCTTAAATAAGTACTACTTTAGCATATAATTACCCTGATTTATGGTTTTAAACATTAAAAAACTTAGCCAAAGTAATACATGCGCATAGGCCCTGTGGTAGTATGGAAGGTGCCCTGTAATGAAAATGAGTAGTTTCCAACTTCACCTTAGAGCTTGTTCTTAGGAGGGAATTAATGTTTTACTGGTTTATCTGGTGGTAATTTCTGTCTCTAAATAGCATCCTTTGTCTGAGACTTTTGTCAGTTAACTACTTTTTAGACGTTATCTGCTGACTCACTTCTGCAGTAATGAGGCTTTACACCATCTAGACCATTCCCCACTTCCCAGTGTGGTTTTATCATTATTTCTAGTGCCTCTGTTGTTGACTTTGTAATTTTAAATGACATACCTTCTTTTATAGTCTTTGACTCTGTGAGAGGAGTGTTTTAGAATCCTTGCTCTGTTTAGTCTTGGTTTGTGGATTTGGTAGGAAAACAAATGGATGTAATCATTAAGACAAAATTTTTTTTTCCCCAAAAGAAATAGTATCAGAATCCATTGGGGCTGGGTGGAAATTCTCTTGAATTGTGGATTCTCTAACCTTACAAAGTGGTATTTGTTTCCTAGAATAAATAGGGAATTTTGAGGACTGTACCCGAAACGGATTGGTTCTTAGTGCCAGAGCTCCTGACACCCAAGACCGAGCTAACTGTGTGTGTAAAGCAGTTTCATATGAATGGTGGCAGTGCTGCCTCTTATCTTCCCCAGGAGGCCACTGACTTCTAAGACCTCTTTCTAGTCTGTTCAAATGCATCAGCAGAGTTCCTTTTTGTATTCATTACTACTAGTTAGGGTCTCTTCAGAGTCACAGTAACAGCACCTGGTATTTAGGTTGCCTGAGTAGAAGCCTCAGCTCTGTTTTGTGGCACATTATTAATAAAAATAATTAATCAGGTTAACAGTCAGGCCAAATAGATCAGCTGACCTTATTGCATTTGGGAACTTCTTTCTCAAATGGAAAAGAGAGATACCAGATGAAGTAGAGAGGGGCTTTAAAGAAACACAGACTTGCAGAGTATTTTTAGATTGTTAAGTATGTTAATAGTGTAGTATCTGTAACCTTGCTGGACAATGTGGAGACTGAAAGAACAGGATCCCTGTAAGTGCCGGCAGGGAAGTTCTGGTCCTTTGAAAGCAGACGTGCTCCTCACCTCCCGGCATGGCTCTAACTGTGCCATCCTCTTCTCAGGTCATGCCTCAGCTGCTCAACTACCTGAAGGCTGACAGACTGGGCAGGAGTGTCGACTGGGGTGTCCTGGCTATCTTCACCTGTGCCGAAAGCTGTAGACTGGGCACTGGCTACACAGAGGAATTTGTTTGGAAGCAAGATATAACAGATACAGCTTAAAGGCAACATAATCTCGTAGACCTTGTGATTACATTTCTAGGACTTTATCCTAAGGAAGTCATTGTACCAAAGACATACAAAGATGCTGTTTTAGGTGTTGTTTACATTGTCTAAATATTAGACAAAAATGTCCAGTGACAGGGAATTAAGTAAACTCTGGTGTACCTATCCAGCAGGAGGCTATGTATGCAGTCTTGATACAGACCTACGTGCACATCAAGTAAGACACAGGTAGAACCCAAGATAGCATTAATAGATGGTACTCATATGTGATCGTGTTTTTATAAAAATACTTATACGTGTGTATGTGCACAAAGAAAAAAGATCTCAAAAGATACACACAGAATGTGAACTGGTTAAATGAATGCTGGGACTAAGTGACATGATGTTTCTACTTTTATGCATATTTCTTTCAACAAAAAAAATGGGTTAAGTCCAATTGTCACTCAAGAGCATTTTCCCTCTAAAATTTGCAAAGTTAAAACAAAGAGAAGAAGTATTTGGGTAAAACCCCAAGAGACTCGTCTAATAATCAGGTGACTGTCATGGGCTCCAGTTTACATGGGAAAATACTGAACCCCACTAACTAGTATGGTACATACAATGAATGGGATACCCAGTCATTCTGAAGCAGCAGAGTTGGCAGGATCAAAAAACCTGACTTTGAAGAGAAGCTCTACCTCAAAACTGACCTTGGTCAGCCAGTGGCACTGCTTACAGACCAGAGGCTGAAAGGCAAGAGCAGTGGTCTTCTCTTCTCATCTGCCCATCTTGTACCACTGTCCACACGCAAGTAAACCCAGTAAGGATGCGAGAATCAGCCACTGGAGTTTCCCCAGGTCAGCCCCCGGGACTGCCTGGCCTTAGGGGAGCTGCCAGGTGTGGGATGTTGTTTGTGCTGCCTCTGTTTATACAGATGGGTCCTAAACCTGTGCCAGTAGCTGTGCTACAGCTCCTTCTAGCCCCTAGCCTTTTACACTTGTGATTCTCAGTTCTCTCACCAGCAGTGATGCCTGCCCAGAACCAAGACAGACCCGAGGAGACACTGCTGTTGATCACTGCTTGAAGACCAACAGCTAATTCTGTAGCATCCCTGTTAACCCTGAAATGCACTGCTACCATAAACACATCTTTTTGGAGGTAACATCACTTAATGTTAGTGACTACCTGGCTATTTCAGGATACTTTCACATCAGAAAGTCTTGGCCTTTCAGTCCATCTCATGTCTGTGATTACAGTTACACGTAGCACCCTATGGGAAACTGCAACATGGAATTGCCATGGGGAGCTTGTTACTGGGCGAATTCTAAATACAAATTTCAAAGAGGGAGGGAATGGCGGTGTCACCTCACTCAAGCTAGGAGTGCTAAATCAGTGAAAATCACCCACAGTTCACGCCCTGTGCCTACGGAGGGAAACATGGCAAGAGCCACACACTTGGTAGGACTCAGTGACTTACAGAAAACTAGACAAGTGGGAACTTCGTACTCCAAACTAAATAACTCAGAAGTAAGTTTTCCAAAGTAGACCACTATCCTGACTGCTAAGGACTTTTCAAGCAAATTCATTGGGGTCTGTCTGGAGACATCCCCAGGTTATGCTGCAAGCACACTGACCAGTCAGGCTGTCCCAGGTGTGTGTCCCTGCCAGGGCCCTTCCCTGTGGAGACACTATTCCAAATCACCAGAATCATAGTACTGACTTGGCAACCGTGTTTAAAAAAATAGAAACTACATTGAAAATAATACAAAATAAGATAACAATTTAGATAAAAAAGCAACTCTGTTGCCTCTAGAAATGTTAATAAAAACAGAAAACACCACCATGTCACCCATGAAATGACGGCCACCTCTCACCCAGCGACTGCTCCTGCAGAGGACAGCTGTCACTGCTGCCCGGCCACATACCCCATCGTTCCCCAGACCTCTGCATGGCTGGCACTGCCTGATCAGGCAGCTCACTCCTCCCTGTTGCAGAGAGCAGTGCATTCACCTCTTCTTTATTTCAGATACCGAGTGCCGGTCTCATCATCCTTTGAAAGTTCAGAGAGCACCGCAAAGAAACAGGTTTCAGTGCTTTTGATAATCATACTGTTGGTAGTATTCTGTTATTAACTTACCATCCCATGTGTCCTTAGAAATTAAGGATTTTCTCAGTGTAAAAGACAATACAGAATTGACCAAATAAAAGCCCTGTAGTCTGATTTTGAATTGGATATATTAGTATGAACTCACGAGGTATTTTATCTTGAAAACTTTTAAAAGGAAAGAAGCATTTATCCTGCTAGATGAAGTATACCACCTCATGAAAGTATCCCAATGAATAAATGAAAAAGTGATTAGAATTCCATCTTTCACAACCCACTAATGAACTAACGGGTCAGCGAGAAGGCCACCAGACACTGACTCCCAACAAACACCACTGACAGTTTCTGCAAAGTGCAGCACTGCAGGTGCCAGAAGCTCAGGGGACAGACGGGCGTGCTGAGCTGCTCCACTCTGAGTCTGCAAATGGCAAGGCTGAGGAACTACCAGATAAACGGTCTACTGACGTACTGAAAATGGAAGACAGTGGTGTTTAGGTAGTTATTGTACAAGGATAGTGGTTATGGGGGGGGGCGGGGGGGAGCTGTGGCTGGACTGGAGCCTAAGCTGCTGGGATCTGGCAAGGTTCTGAGTTGTGGTTGCTGGGGTGCCTGCCTCTGAATAATACATTATGCTAAACACTTGTTAGGTTTCCTCTGTACGCTGCATTTTGCAACTATAACCTTAATAATTTAGGTAAGTGGAAATAAATATATCAACCATGACTATAAAGTGCTATGAAAAATTCCATTTATAACAAACTATAAAATACTTAGGAATCAACTTGTATGGAATGTAAAAGTCCTATATGAAAAGAATTATGAAACTTTACTGAAGACTCAAAGGGAAGACCTATGGGGAGACAATTAATGTCTTTCCAATTAATCCATACATTATTGGCATCACTCATGATTGGGAAATGCAAGGCAAGGGCACTCGTGCACCTGGACCACAATCTGGTGTGGAGCTGTCAAAACCTAGAGTGCATACGTACTCTTTAGCACAGCGATTCCTCTTCTAGGGATGTTACTGCAGAAACACTGTACTCATCCACAAATACTCATATAAGGATGTTCCCTGCAGCACTGTTCATAACAGTGAAACACCACAGATAACGTAAGTGACCGTGATTAAGGAAGTGGCTACATACATTAAGGAATATAAGAGATGATGTTACACCATCAGATTCCACGTCGTGGGATTGTTTGTCATGGAGATCTGTGTATGAAAATGACTAAAGAAAGGCTATAGAACCAAACATATGCTTTCCTATTTTTTCCAAAAGTGGTATCAAAAGCACACCCAAAGGAAAGAATCTGCACAGAAGACAGAGATAACCCACCAATCTGGTGCGAACCCAGGGAAACAGGCAAAAGGGAGAGGAAGGAAGAAACTTCCCTTCCTGGTTACACACCTCTGAGTTGTTTGAAAGAATATTTTTACAGTTAAAAAGAAAAACACACACCCAAACAATGGAACCCAAGGACTTACACGTTTACCTGATATTCATGAGAAGAACAAAGACACATACCTCACCAGCCTGTGGACTACCCCAGTGTTCATACTGAAGGCCTTCGGCTCAGAGCTCCTGTTTGCCACGTACCTGCTCGGGAACCTGGGCAGACCCTCAGCTGGGGCCTGCCCGGCCTCACCCACAAAAGAGCAACGAAACAGAACTGCAGGTTCTGTGAGAAATTAAGGCAATGTATCTGGGACACAGGAGGTGCTGCTCAGTATATGGGACATAATAAATACATGTCTTGTGAGCAACTTTAAATTTTCAGGCGGTTCATCCATTTTCATTGCAACAACAATGAAATGTTGATTGAAACAACAAGCAAGCAAGCACACACTGAAACGGCTGCAGGCGTTATATCTAAAATACAACTTTAACAGTATGATCACGTGAATCTTACAAGGTTTCATTTATAACATCAATCTAACACTTTTATAAACAGCATTTATTGTACAGAGTACTCTGAAGGAAGAAAAATATGTACAGCCATTTGTTTGCATTAATACAGTTCTACTCTGTCCTGCAATACTGAAAAGGCGGAATGTGTCTGGCACAAAAATAACCCCGAGGAGTTACAAATTAGAAAACAACACTTTTAAAAAAGATATTTACTTTTCTGGTAGAAATATAAAAACTGTGGTTTATGGGGAAGAAATTAAACAAAATAAAATAGTCCAATCAATTGTTGAGGTGGGTTTAACACTTAAAGTTTTGTCCCTTAAACCAACTTGTCAACAGCAGTAAGTATACAATCTAAGTATAAATAAATGGGCAGCGCTGCCCAGATAGCAGCACAGTACGAGCAACTTACAGCAACGCTTCGGTGTTCTCTGTGCGTCCTGGCATCCCTGCGGGGTACACGGCAGAAGAGCCTCACCTAGTGCCGCAGCCCTCAACGCAGCATCATCCTCACCATGTCGCTGCCCACAACGCCACTATTTAAATGTACCAAACTGATTTGTTTTAAGAAAAAACAAGTTGGGGAGGGGGGCAGGAGTACACAACAGGCATTACGTCGTCTTCCTGAAACCCTTTAGAATAGGGTAAATGTTCTCAAACGCTTCATAGATTTCCGCTCTGACTTTAGCACCTATGAAAACAAGTTGGAGTTGAGTCTGAAATGGCATTTTTTGACAAAACAGAACCACAAGCACAATTCTTTCCACACCCAGCAAGACTAAAAGATGCAGGCATTAAAACATTCATGATGGAATTCCTTACCTCAGTCCTATTTTTGTTTTTAAAGCAGTGTTTTCTTAAATTGGCTTTTTAAAAAACTACAAAGGCAAGGCCCCAGGTGACTCCTTGTCTGCACCTTGCCCCCTTGACTGGCTTCCTGCAGGTCAGACCGAGCAGGAGAGCAGTGAGAATGGCTGGATCTTATTCTCCCAATTACTGCCTACAACCAAGCTCTTCTGAACCTTCCTTTGTTTTTCTCGCAGTGGTAATACTGATGAATCCCACAGTCTTAGACAAGGGCATTCAACTTAAGATGCCATCTGTCAGGCAATGTAATGCTCACATCCTCCCCACCCCCCACAAAGGCCATGCTTCAGCTGCAGGACCTGCAGCCTGTGGTTGGACTTCCCTGTGCTCACCTCCTCTGTAGGGTCTACCTCCCATCAGAGTTAGGGTGGGAGAAGAGGAAAAAGGAGACAAAGCTTCTCACAAGTCACTAGCCGACTGCCCAACATTGTGACATTATTTCTTAGCACTGAGAAAATGACACTTTTGAAACTTTCAAAACTTCAGACACTACTTCCTGTTACAACTTACCTGTTAATACGACTTTTCCAGAAACAAAAATAAGGAGAACAATTCTCGGTTTGATCATCCTGTAGATTAAACCAGGAAATAACTCCGGCTCATAACTAGAAGGAAAACGGCAAAAACAGTTTAGAAATTAACAGTTGCTCATGCCTTTATTAAAAAAATGAGGACCTGAACAAGGGAAAATACTGAGTAAACGGCAAACTAATCAGGAGGTGAAGCCCAATTCTTCAAGTAGCACCACAGGAGAGAGTACCTGAGGCCAACAAGGCTGACATGTAATTGGCACCTGAAGACCAACTAACTCTATTTCTAATAATCTGGATTTCTGGACATAAGGCTAAGAGCTTTAAAAATGAATTCTTGTTCTCTGACAGTTATCAAGTTTCATTCTGGCCAAGTTTAAGTATATCGACTTATAAGAGCCCAATAATTCTTTCTTTCTAAGATAGTCACACAGTTTACCTTCTAATCATTCACATCTCATCCCTTAAACTGAAATATCCTCTACCTGTTAACTTTGGTCAGGCAATTTAACCAAAGTGATAGAAAAAATACTGGTTGGAGAATGGACCTTTCCCTAACTTTGTTGTCTGATGAAATGCACTATTGGTATGTTTTATTCTACTTGAGTAATCTCATTTTGTTAGTTAGACTGAAAACAGTCAGGATATGTGAGTGTGTTTAGCCTAGTGGAAAATTCAAGACAAGCTTCCCCAAGGAAGAGAAGCTTGGGTGGGTATCTGAAATGCCAGTGGGAGTTTCCCAAGGTGAAAAGTGAAACCAGAGTGTGCCAGGTATAAAAGCAGGTGTGCAAGGGCCCTGGTGCAGGAAGGGCACAAGAAGCCAGGGTGCTGCAGGCAGAGAGGCTGGAGAGGTGGGCAGGCCACCTGCCTCGTAAATCTTCACCAGGAAGAGCAGAGAAAGTCAATGGGAAGAATATTCATATCAGCTTTACACTTTGCTAGTTGATTTGACATAGTCTTGACTAGAACAGAAGACTCAAACAACTGGGGGAAAAAGTGATACAAGAAGCTGTGGATTTAATTCATGCATTTAAGATGTATTTATTGAGCAACAGAATGATGAAAATTACAGAAGGAGAATCAACTCACCCCAGTAAAGGGGGGTTTTGGGCGTCATCAGGTGAAATGGGAAGTAGGAGGCTGGTAAGAATAGTAGGTATTACCAAAGATGCCAGGAAGAAGCGTCCATAATAAATGCACCTATAAGTGTATCATTTGTTCTTAGACACTAATTACTTTGCATGTGTTTTATCATGAGCAGTGTTTAAGTAGATTATAAATTACTTCCTGCCAAAAGCAATCACAATCCATTTCAGACTTACCTACTGAACTGTTGGTGGGTGAGCACAAGGCCTTCTAACCTAATAGGGAATTTGACATCACAGCTCCCCACCATGTTCTGAATCTTGAAGTCTAAGAACTTAGCTGGAAAACCCAACTTCTGGACAACTCTGGCATATTTTCTTGCTGCTAGTCTGGACTGTTCTTCACTAGGGAAAGAACAAGTAAGATACGCATACTCAAAGGCAGCTAAAATAATTTTTAGGCGAATAACTTAATAAAAAGTCCAAATTAGGAAAGTTATTTAAAATAAGTGTCAACTAGTCACCCCCTTCCAGTAAAGATCAATAAACATTAACAGTTTTATTTATAAAGTATTCCCATGTCCTTGATTAAAATGAAACTTTTCAGTTCACCACATCATCGCTGAGCCCGAGATGTCACAGACGTGAAGCACAGCATCACCACCACCATCAATACTGTTGTATTTCAGCCCACAAACTTCTACTGAGATGAAAGCTCACTACTTTAACAGGAAAATACTGATGAGATTTATGCTTGAAGAATGCACACACTAATTTCTCTTTTATGCCAAGTCTTCCTTTATCCACTGCTATAACCCATCTGTTGGATAAAACCATGACTGAGCAGTGGCTTAGCAAGACAGGGCTTATGTAACAAAAGCAGGATGAAAGCGACAGTGACTTCACCAACAGGAGGCCCTCAAGTACAGGGTCAGGAGTGACAAAAGTCAAGTGCACATACATGCTGAACTGTATGAGAAAAAGATGGTAGTAACACACATCCTGAACTCATGCCCGATTTTAAGAAAATGAAATCACTACTGTCTCAAGTGATGAGAATCAACCATTTTAACAAGAAAGCAGTAATAACAGTTTATTAAAGTATTAGCCTAACACCTAAAAACCACGAGACACAGCCATTTCTTTCATAACATACATACAGACCAGGACGGTGAACTCCGCTGAACCCACCTCTTGGCTCCCGTGCACACCATCTTCCCAGAACTGAATATCAGCGCCGTGGTCCGGGGCTCTCGTATTCTCATGATTACAGCAGCAAACCGCTGAAACAGTCAGAGACAGCCTTAATGAGGCCATGCCAGCCTGCTGACTTCCCGTAGGAGAACTAGACACGGACAGAGAGCACCAGGTAGGAAGGAAGACCTGGGACTCGCACAGTTATCAAGACTTCTGACTGCTTCTACACAGGACTCCCTCACACCGCCACGTGGCACGTGTGCATTCGCACAGGGAGCACACAAGTGAACTGACTACTGAGGCAGCGAGACCGAGATCTGTGTATTCCGCCACATGTCCCAACAAGTGGAGCAAAGTGGTATTTGCAAAAAATTTCTCCTTTAGGTTTTTGTTTCATTAATGACTTTTTAGGCAAATCAACCAATAAACCTTTCCCACCTCCAGAAGGAATGAACAAATCAGATTGCAAACACATCAACGCATAGTGAAGTGACCTGCTTTCAACAGGCCTTTAGCAATAGTATTAATGTATTGGCATTTATATAAATGCAATGGCCTCAGCTCTAGGTTATGTGATATAAAGCAAAAAATTACTTTCAAATAACTCTAAAATTTTATTATTTGATATTTAATTACATATGAGAAGAGCATGTAATATTTCTAACCATGATGACTCTGACAAAATAGATTGCTGTAACAATTTGTTTAAAAAATGCTTTTTGTGATAAAATTCAACATCTAGTAATGATACAAATGCTCAATAAAGTTGGCATAGAGGGAAAAACAACTGCTACATGTCTTCCCTCCGATTTTACCACCACGTAAAAATGCTACCATGACATTCTAGTTTATACAAGTCCCAGGAAATGCCTAATTATTTTGCGTTTCCTAAACTCCCTCTATCAGTTTGATTGGTTGGATAACTGATATTTCATTAGAGACTATAAAACTGTAAAATTATATATTCAACTTAATAAAATTATGATAGATAAAAGATTAATTTTTATAATGCTACACTCATATGGACTTGCCATGGTGGTTAAATGGTGACTTCCAGACCTTAGTTACCTTGGAATTTTAGACAAACACTTAAATAAAATTTAATATTTAGGTAATTTCTTAACAAAAAGGTAAAACCATTTGCCAACAGATTTTATTTGCCATTTACTCTCATGTTCACATTACATAATGACCACTCTATTAATTGGTGAAAGGATTATGCCACTGTAAACAACTATAAAAGGAACTTGAATGTACACTGAAGGATGGAGAGCTAGGTATTTCTTGGTTATCTGCCTTCTAGTTTTCCTTGTGTTTGGAGGAAACTATTGGACTGTTTTGGCTAAAGGTAATAACTAATATGAATGGTTGACATTATACCAGGTACAAAAATTAATACAAAATATTTCCTTATTAAGGAAACTGCTTATTAATATCATGAATTCACCATGATGTACGCTTACAATATACTGATACTATATTTTAAAGTCAAAGGTAAAATGCTTAAATAATGAAAAATTTCAATAGTTCTGACAAGTCTTTCTTAAATTCTCACTCTAAATTCAAAATAATAGAACTGTTTTTATACCAAATCTTTGTGGTTTCCTAAATGGCCACTGAGTAACCATGAAAGTTTATTCTCTCACTGTAAAAAAGAAGGGATTCTAAAATAATTAGGAATATTTGATGTTCTCTATATTTTAATTACTTCACCAAGCTGACCAAAAAGTCTCAAAAGCTAAATGAGCCATTTCCTTTCTTAGCCATTTATTAGAGCAACTCTAACTTTGGGTATTTATACCTAGGCTAAATCTTTCTAACTTGCACATAAAAGACAAGGTTATGTTTTAGAGTTTTAGAAACTCATTTTCATTTTCCTCTCTCTACCTGTATCTTTTGTCTGTTTACCATGTAACTATTAAATCCTACTCCAGTCTCATCTTTACTTCCTTTCTTTAAGAAAAAGTAAACAAAGATCTCTTGATTACCAAAATGAATCTAAACCTGCCTCATTCTCACTGATATTTTGCTCCAACGATGAACCCTAATGGTCAGTAAATAATGCTGCATCTATTTGAAATGATCAAGGTGTACTTTTATGTTGATACAGTATAACTTCTAACTAGAGCTATAAAACATTCTGTTACCAACAGCTCATCCTACTAAGACAGCCATCTTATTAGCGGTTCATGAGTAAATATTACTAGTTGATACACGTTTGGGTTTCTGTCATTATGAAAATAAAAGAATTTTCTTTCTTCTTTGGTTATTTCCAATTAAAACATTAAATAAATTAATGATCCACTAGAGGAAATCAAACATTTGAAGGAAATGTCAATTTTAAGAGTACAGCCCATTCTAAGGAAAGTGGCTCCTCTAACTCATGTAGACAGCAGCTCCTTACTAGGTTTAGCCACCTCTAACACCACAAAGATAAACTTTTTTTCAGACCGAGTAGGTAGCAGAAACTTAGTCATCATCTTTTCTCTTCACTTTATTTAAATATCGCAAAGTGGCTCGGTCACTCTAAGTCATCTTCAAATACTAATACGTATGCAAGTGCACACAGTTACAACAAAAAGCAACCACCACCAAACAAAAAAAAAAAAGACAGAGACAAATACATACATTGACTCAAACTTTACAGAAATACTGGTGGGGATACTTCACTTGAGAAGGTTAAGGGGCTTCATGTCTTCAGTTATTACAAGGCAGAGAAACTGAAATGGGTGGCAGGGTTCTGGGCTCCACTTAGCTTTCATTCAGCGCCCAAATCAAAGAGCTTAGATATGCCTAATAATAGTATGTAAGTTGTTTTTCTGTTGATTGAAACTTCATTTTGTTAAAAGGCCAAGTTTCCAAAAATAGTTTTATTTTCCTTGGCCTAAAGTTTTAGCATCGATGAACTCCAAATCCTACAAATTCTTACCCTACGAAACTCTTCCTGAAAAACCTATAAGGATTGGCCTGGCTCCCCTCAATAGCCCCCACCTTCTTATATACTGACCTCGTCTAGTACCATCCAACCAATGTTCTGTACACTGTCATATGCCCAACTGGGTAAGCTACATTTTCAAAGCAATCACCACCCACATGTCTGGACATGATATACAGGCAGCAGACAGTAAGATGGCAAAGACACCAATGGAGGTGAGCCTTCAAACTGCCTAGAAGGAAGCACTTGAGACTCTCCTAACTAAAGTACTGTTTTCAGGCATCCATACAGATGCATGGATACCTTCCCCAGTTGGCATGTACTTAGAATCCAACTGGATAGATCCTGCCTGAAGACTGACCCCAAATCTACTAAAAGGTGATGACCCCTGAAAATACATCTTCCTTCCAAGACCTCTAAACCAAGACCCAGGACAGGACAAAGGACTTAAGTTTTATTATTTACTGCCTCTTCTTTCTCTCCCTTCTTTTCCTTAGTATTAATCCTTTCTTGCCATTTGCTCAACCAATAATTTTATCTGGCTTTTCCAAGCATTCGAAACAAAAACCTCAGGTACTACATCTTATTAAGATGCCAAATAAAAAAAAAAAAAGATGCCAAGAGTCACTTATCAAAAGAGGTACAAGAACATGATTTCACTGTTTGTACTAGATTTGTGTCCTAGATTAGACTTCTTGAACTAAAACACGTGACCCGAATTGTGGCTCAAGGAACAAATGAAACAACTCACCCAATGAACTCTCATAAATCCACTGGCTAAACCAGAGCCAGAACATAGAACCGTTCTCACGATGCACTGGCCAGCCAAGTGGTGCCTGTACAACCACTAATACATCTTTTAACACTTGGTAAATATTTTGGGGGTGGGGGGAGGGGAAGGAGAGCAGAACAATTTATCACTCAATTAAGAGAAAATACTTTGTTCCTAAAATTGATCAAGCCGATCCTTATGAGTTAATTCTTCTGGTGAGGCATAAGCAAATGAAAATCTGGGCATGAAGTGAGTTCCACATACTTCTTATAACACTTAAGATTATTCTTATTCGTTTGCCCTTCTCCGTGATCCAGTATCTGGGCACTCAGGTGCTGATACATGGTATTGTTTCAAGATGACTTTAAAGTAAACAGCATTTCTTTGAGTTACTTGCTGATAGGTGCTCGCACTTGGAGGGAGCTGTCCTCTGCAAGGCCCTTCAACCCCATCATCTTCCAGACTCAGATGCCTGGCTTCTGCCCAGCCCTCTAAAAAGGTCCACTCATTTCTGAATGCAAACGTTTACTAGTTTTTTAAAAACAGCTTTTCTACTAGTGCAGGGACTAAAGCCTTAATATGCATTAGGCTGCTATCTTAAAGGTAGAAAACTTATAGTTATTTTCCCCTAATCTTTTTATTATAAAAAAATGCGCAGTTAAAGGTACAAAAAATATTATAATATTCCTTGTACTTATCATCCAACTTTAATAATTATTAACTCGTGGCTGGTTTTGTTTCATCCATGTGCCCCCCTCCCCAGTACTCCAACTGGGTTGTTCTGAAGTAAAATCCAGGTAGCATGGCGTTCTATTCTACATAGTTTTCAACACATAAGTAGGCTCATGCTATGCATTGTCCTCTAACTCCACATGGCCCCCATCACACGGGATATAAAACTGCATCTTGCAGAAGGCTGCATTCCCAGAGTCTCTCACTCAGCAGCTACTCAACAAAAATGATACACATTTTGCTTTAGATTCTTGTTTTGCTGGTGACAAACTTAAACACGACACATTCTTTTTGATGGAGAGACCTTTAGAAGAAAAACCTTGTATTATTTTAGTTTGAATACATTAAATTTGCTCTGACCTTCGGATTGTATTCAGCATTTCGGGCACGAAGTGCAATGGTCTTTAGGTCAAGTTTACAACCAAGATTCACTGTGGATACGATATTTCTGCAAGAAATGTGAAAAGAAAACATTATTTCTTTAACTATCAGTATTAGATGATTACCTAGAAATTGGATTCTTTCACTAGAACTAATTTAAACTAATTTAATTTTTTAAATTAAAACTTCAAAAAATGCTGACATCTATTAAATGTTTAACAAGTACCACACACCATAGCGAACATTTTACATAGATTATCCCACTTAACACTTACAGTGCACTATGAAGTAATAACTATTAACTTCTGATGAAGAAGCTGAAGCTTAAAAGGCGGTGGGGGTGGGTGGGGCGAGGTGTTGTGTAACTTGCTCCGAATACACGTGGTCCCTAAGTGGTAGGCAGAGCTGGGATTTGAGTCTGCCTATCTCCAGAGCCAAGCAAGCCTAACCTTTCTCCTCTACTGACTCAGCTCACCTATGAGCTCTGAAACAGTGCCACCACCACTCCCCCTAATCCTCAAAATTACTTCTTTTAAATAAAGTACGCAGGTGCGATTTTCTCACTTCTCTCAAAGTAAGTATCTTTTGAAACAAGAATTCAATTATGTTTGACAAAGGAAGAAAACCTGCTTTTTCTTCTGATTAACCTTCAGTAAATCAAGGAAAAAAAGACATCGCCGTTTATTATCTGGGTCCATGAACCCCTTTCATTTTTCAGTATTCTTATATAATTTTATGAATAATTTATAAATAAGTTGTACCATCACTGTCCTGTGAATACTGACCCCAGATTGCAAATATATCTCCATCCAGCTAGCTCATGGCTATCTCTGGTTTTCTTACACTGTCAAATGCAATACCTTTGAAAACTTAATGATTCACAACTTGGTGAAAAGAGGTTGGGTGTCTTCTTTAATACACAACTGTAATGCCAATTAGGATGATCAATTCAGTGTTTTCATTTCTACACCATCTATTTCCTTCCAGTCAATTTTATAGACACAAATTCATAGTATACTCTCTTATAATCTTTCTTATTTCTTATTTCGGTAGTAACAGTCCCACTTTCACTTGATTTCAGTAATTTGAGTCTTCACTTTTTCTGTTGATCCAGTAACTAAAAGTTTGTTGATTTTTTCCAGAGAACTTTTTGGTTCATTGATTTAATCAACCGGTTTTCTTTTCTGTTTCATTTCTCTGCTCTAATCTTCATTATTCCCTTCCTTCTGCTAGCTTTCGGTTTAGTTTGTTCTTTTTCTAGTTCCCTAAGTTGTAATGTTAAGTTATTGGTTTGAAATATTTCTTTTTTAATGTGAACATTTTTAGTTATAAATTTCACCCTTAGCACCGCATTCACTGCATCCTGTATGTTCTGGCATGTTATATTTTCATTTTCATTTGTCTCTAAGTTATTTTCTAACTGCTCTTGTGACCTTTGATCCACTGACTCTTTAAAAGTATGTTATTTAATTTCCACAATTTTACAAATTTTCTGGGACACTTTGTGAAATACCAGAAATATAAGGTGCTGGTAAGAAACAAACGCCGCATCTGAACTGGTTACATTTTTATGATTTAAACCAGAGGTACAGACTTAAATGCTCATGGGAGCCAGATAAGTGTGCAAGGCAATGGAGTATGGTATTTATAAAGATAAACTAACAAGTGCTTATCTTTCTAAATCATTAAGAGCAAAATTATTTTGTTTTTCAAACTGTGTCAGATCAAACACCCAAGGCAAGATTTAGGTCCCTGGGTAACAGTCAGGTTCCATGATTAAACATTACTTAGTTCTAAAACTGATTAGAAATGGCTTATAAGAAAACTGGGTAATGCAGCTGTTGCAAATACTCCTTCCATTTGGCCATAAGGTTCCTAAAGGCAAAAGCTACATACTTCTCATTGACAGAGATATGAGAGTATCTGCCTGTTTTTCAGGAAGGACAAATTCTATCCCCCCACTTCCCACCCCCAATTCTGTTACATACAGCACCCACTGCAACTAGGCAGAAAAATCCAGTTAGGGAAGAAAAGCCATCCCCAGCTTGTGGGAAGGATTTACATGCAGTGCTTATAATAACCAACGGAGAAAGACAAGGACCACTATGAGAGATAAATTCTGTGACTAAGTAATTAATCTTTCCAAAGACTTAAAATATCACAAGGGAAGGAGGCTACATAGGCTTGATTTGGTAAGCCAACTACAGAGAAACGCCTATAATAACAACAATGAAATCCAAGTTGGACTTCGTTGGCCCAAGTGTATAAGCACAAGCTACTAAATTTCTGAAGATGTTATGAGAGCCTTTTACTAAGGGCACTGACTCACTAAGACAGCTCTGCTTCCCTTTCCAAGTGAGACACATGATCACCATTAGTGACACACAGTGAGATAAACCAATCCATCTGAAAACAAAGACAGCGGTGCAGCTCCAGGGACATGTGCAGGGCAGGGGAAAAGGACACCACCCAAGTACTCACTGCAGCTGCGGCACGATCCCAGAGCTCTCCGAGGCTGGCGTGGCGGGGGTGATGGGGGTCATGGGCGTCATAGGGGAGGGATACAGGGGCGTGGTGCCTGGCAAGGGTGCCGTCGTAAGAGTCTGTGAGTGAAAGAGCTGTGGGGTCTGGCCGGAGGCCCCCTGCGCTGCCTGCTGGGATGGCGACTGCTGGACGGTGGCCACCGCCTGCTGCTGCTGCTGCTGCTGCTGCTGCTGCTGCTGCTGCTGCTGCTGCTGCTGCCGCTGCTGCTCCTCCAAGATGGACAGGCTGTTGGTGTTCTGAATAGGCTGCGGAGTCAGTCCTGTGCCATAAGGCATCATTGGACTAAAGATAGGAATCCCAGGAGTCATAGCACCCTGTGGAAAGTCAGGAGAGAAAAGGGTTAGGCTGACTGGGGCTGAGCGTTTGCAGGACCTCCCTCGTAGATGAGCAGGTGAGATGCATAGACAGGCGCCGTCCGAGCATAAACGGGGTTACTGAGCATGAAGAGGGAGGGACTTGCTGCTTTTAAACACACCAGTAATATAGCAGGTAAGAGCTCAGGATCTGGAAGTAGACCTGAAATCCAACTCTGGATTATACTTATAACATGAGAACCTGAGGAAGCTGCTTAACCCTTCAGACGTATCCAGAGGACAACAATGCGCAAAGACCTCTAGAGAGAATAAAGGACATAACTGGAGTGACCTCACACCATCTGAACTAGTATCCACTTCACTCTCAAAGCCTCTGTCCCAGCGTCAATGATAAAGTGTATGGTTACCCCAGAACCAGCCAATTAAAGCGTTTAACATGACGGCGGTACAGAGAAAATGCTGACAAGTGCTAGAACACTACTGAATAAAAAACATCAGAACACTGCTCAAAAAGGTCGGTCGTTTGCTCTCCCACAGTGCACATCAATAAAACCCAATGCGTCTATCAGAATGCTATCCATTCACTTTTCTACACTGTTTCTGAATTTTTCCAGACACTATTACATTTATTAATTCATCTGAGTCTCACAGCAGCCCTTTAGAAAAGGCAAAATGGATGCTGTTCTTCCCACATTAAGGAGAAGAAAACTGACACCAACAGAAGTTAAGGGTTTTGCCCAAGGCCACAGATGTCAGAGGTGAGACAGGACCACAGCCAAGCTCCCCTGAGCCCCAGTGCCGAGCCTTCCCACAACACCAGAACTCATGCAGCCCATGGAGCCTGCAGAGCTTGTGACAGGCTGTCTGAACCTCTTAAAATTTACCCAGCATTTCTACAGAGAAATCCATAGTTTTCACTATATTCTCAAATGGGTGTAAAACTCCAAAAGAGAGCCACAGTCCTTTCTGACTTCCACCACTTTATTTAGAAGAAAATATAAACTAAAAATGTCTAAGATATTTCTGTTAAATTGTTTCACCAACATATTGGCAGAAAAAAAACAAAAGGACCAAATTTATACAATAGTCCTAACAGTACAGGAATTATTCTATTGCATTTATTACTTATTTCTATAAAAATACTGCTAGAAAAAAAAATCAGCTTACACTAACCTAAAAGGGCTAACACTAAAGTTTTGGAAAGTCTGCATTTCTTTATGTCATATATAAAAGTGGACCACAGACATACAAAAGCTAAAACTATTAGAAGAAAATCCTTAAGGTTTTGGGTAGGCAAAGACTTTTTAGACAGGATACAAATGCATTAACCATAAAGTAAACCTGACAAATAAACTTCAGAAAAATTAATAATTCCTACTCTTTGAAAGATACCATTAAGAAAATTAAAAATTAAGCCACAGATTAGTAGAAAACATCTAGCATACAGTATGTCAGAGAAAGAACAATCAAGGTATATATAAAATAGTTAAATAAGTTTATACTGTTTAGCACAGGGAACTATATTCAATATCTTGTAGTAACTTACGGTGAAAAAGAATATGAAAACGAGTATGTGTATATTCATGTATGACTGAAGCATTGTGCTATGCACCAGAAACTGACACAACATTGTAAACTGACTATACTTCAATTAAAAAAAGTAAAAGAGAAAAAAGAAAAATACTCTGCAGAACTTATTATTAAAAAAATTTTGGCATCTTGTATGTCCTTTCTACACCCTCTTCTCCCAAAGCAATAAATCCATGATTTTCTCTAAGAAACAAAAAAATCAATAAAAGATGAACAAACAGACCAATAAAGAATGGGCAAAAGATGTGAAGGTCATTTTTTCAAATGAAGATACATAAATGGCTAATAAGCACTTGACAAGATGCTCAAGATCATAAGTCAACAGGAAAATGCAAATTAAAACCACAAAGAAATACTCCTAGGCAACCACTAGAATGAATGGCTAATATAAAAAAAAACCCCAAGTGTTGGTGAGGATGTGGAGCAACTAGAACTTTCACTTCACTTTCTTTACACTGCTAGTGCAACTTTAGGATATGCCTGGCACTTTCTTATAACATTAAACATACACTCGCATACTGACTTAGCAATCCCACTCATACTTATCCAAGAGAAATAAAAACATAGTAGACATGAACACTGTACACAAATACACAGCACCTTTATTCATAATGGCCCCAACCAGGAGACACCCCTAATGTAGAATGGACAAGCTGTGGTACATCCAAACAACAGAGTGCTACTTGGCAATACAAAGGAATTTGCTGATATACAAATATGACGTTAGGAAAAGAAGACAGACACACAAACATCATATACTGCCATGATTCTACTTGCATGCTGATCTAGACAAGGCAAAGCCTTCTCTAACTCTGGAAAGCAGGTAAGTAGTTGCATGAGGCTAGGGGCGTGACAGCACAGGGGCAGGAGAGGATTTTTAGGGTAAATGAAATATTCCATAACTGACACAGGTATACACAATTATCAAAACATACACTTAAAATGAGTGTTCTTATTTAAGCATGTAAATTATATCCCAACAGAAGTTATTTAAAAAATTTAAAAACAGACATGTTATCTGGAACTTTAAACATAAAAAGGAAAAGATAAAAACAGAAAATAATTTGGCTAGAGTTACTCTCAAAATCAAACACTCTATAATCACTTGGACCACTTTCATAAGTGTTTATCAAAAGATTAGGTTTCATAGACAAATACACATTTTAGCTTTTACATAAACTCCCCCAGTTAAACACTACTGTACCTATTCAAAGCCTAACAGAACTTCTCAACAAAATAAGGGAGGCTTAAAGAAAATCCAAACCCATTTTCAACCAAGAGATTGTTCAGTTCCCTTCCTTCCCTTTTACACAGTGTCTAACAACTCAGGCTCTGCCCTGCCTGCACCCCACCTCCAGCTGCATACCTGAGGGGAGGCCAAGCCCTGAGCATAAGGTGGGAGGCTGTTGTTCTGATCCATGGTGTTCACTTTCCTCTTGGCAAATCCAAAACTTCTGGACTGGAAACCACCTCAGCATTCAGTCTTTTCCTAGAGCACACCAGCACACTCTTCTCAGCGACGTCCTCACCTCTCTGGGTGATCTTCATGCACACCAAGAAACAGCAACGCTGCTTTGAAAAGAGTCTGAGGTTTAATGCAACAACACAGGTAAGCTGTACAGTCTTATAAGCCAGTGTCATGGTTATACAAAAAACGAACAATGAAGCCATTTTGAAACGCATTTCTTTTTTACCTCATAAAGCTGAAATCTTACTCCTTTATGTTTCCAGTGACTTCGTGCAAAATTGCTAACAGAACAAAAATTGTTTTGTTATGTGTTTAAATATTCTTATAATGTTAAAATTAAGGTACATAATAAGCATTAAAAACTTTTGGGAAAAACACCCAGGGAAAATGAATTACTATAGGAACTGTCGTATCTGAGTAGAAATATACATTAAGCACTGTGCACACAATGCTATTAGGCTAAGTTCAACTTTTTAAATTTTCCGTTCAGCTTTATATCCTCCACAATGTCTTGGGCATTAAGTTTAATAAATACTGAATTGGATCCAATACATTTCAGTGTGATCATTTATTGAGCTACTACTTGTAATGAAACACTGGAATAGAAGCTAGACATCCATAAAAAATAAAACATCATGTTTTTATATATGTAGTAACTCTACCTCTTCAGCACACATAAATACAAACTGTGCCCACATCTGGTTTTTCTTAAGTTATCACTTTACTGGCTACACATTTAAAATTCCTTTTAGACAAAAGAACTAAGTGACTGCTGAGAGACCTTTTGCTCAGCTTACTTCAGACAGACCCTTAACATGCTCAGGGATGCTGTGAGGACGGACTGACTGATTAACACACCAAGAACAACATCTGGTTACCAGACAGGAGGCACAGGATAAAGGTTAGCTGTTATCATTAGCTTTTAGTGTAAACATTATCATCTAATAGATATTCTCACACAGAACTTAGAAGTCTCAAAGTTACAAGTTGCATGTCAAAGAGACACATGCACCTCAAGCTTGTACTGGTATAAAGTAAGAACTCAGACTGTTTGGATGAATGAAAGAATCTCACAGTGACTTTGAAAGGACAAAGAACCCTAAAAACTATGTATCTTACATACTCATCAATGAAAAACATCAAAAAAAAAAAGAGAAAAGTCAGCTTCAGAAAACGTCAGAGATATAAGAAAATTACACTCTTTGACAGTTATCCTATTCTAACAGTAGAAGTGCTGCAAATATAAAAATGAAGAGGATATAGCCCCTGGCATCAAAAAGTTCAATTTGAAGGATATGCTAATATTCACTGCAAAACTTCAGTGCTAGAATAGCACATACGCACTATGCTAAGCCCCTAGAGTGCAGAAATCAGCATGCATGCCTTTGCAATCCCTGTACTTAGTACAGTGCCTGGCATATAGTAGGTGGTCCTGAATGAATGCATACACACTACAGAAAAAGAAGACAATATAACTGCCAAGTGTTCTGAAGAGTGTATTCACAAAGTAAGGACCATTTGACTTGGGTCTAGCAAACTCAGTAGGAATTTACAAATCAGCACTTCAGGCAGAAGAAAGATCAAGTACAAAGAGACAGAGATTGAGAGAGCATGCAGTATGCAAGCAACAAACTCAGCAGGACTGCATGGAGTGTCCCTGCAGTGGATGATATGGCAAGTAAAGTGGGGCCACACTATCAGGAGTCTAAGTCATTATTACATAAGCAATAAGCACAGTGACAAGGCTTTGAAGTGCACCAGGAGTAGATGTACTTTGGCAAGAGTGTGGATGGATTTCCAAGAGATAAAACTGGAGGCTGGCAGTTCCGTTTAAGAGTCGCTGCTAGAGTTGAGGCAAGAGTTAATAAGGGCAGGATTTAAACTGCTCATATACATGACTACAGATTCATCCCGAAAGTGGTGGCTCCAGACCTGCTTTTGCAAACTAAGTCTACAGAAGAAATCTGAGGAACCAGCTGGAGACCAAATGTTACCAAAGTTTAGAGCTCACCTCTCAGTACTGGTGATGGCACTGACCAACTTTCCTCACCTGTGTCATGAAAACTGCACAGCTATTACTGCACTAACTTATCCTTAGAGAAGAGAGCTGTTTGCAGAATGTCCCCATCTTTTGGTACTTGAAGCACCAAACTCGATACTTTCGGAGACAATTACTGATAAGGGACTAGAATCAATTAACTCTGCACAGCCTCCTACTGTCTGCATAACTCAGTCAAGGATAGTCTTTTCAGAGAAGCCTATCTAGAGCTTTCAATGAGAAAACCACACTGTCCAGGGCCTAGACAGGGAGGCCTTGTAAATAAAGTGGTGTGTAGGTGGGGTTCTTTTTCCTCATCTCACTTCTTATTTTAAGCAGCACAATCTGCAACTTTCAAAATGAACGTTGTTCTTATGAACTCTGTATTGCTGACATTCATAAAGCAGAATGCAAACTCTTGATTCATTATTATATAAACAACCTTCGAGTAAGTCTACATATTGTTTAAATTTCCTCTACAGAAATTGAATGAATTAAAGTCAACATCTATACATCGTTGTCTTTCTCACCGTCACAGGCATGTATACTAAAGTGGTGCATACTTGTATCCTACACTCTATCGTGCCTGAAGTCTCCTGCCTCTGAAAAACGTTAAAAGGTCTCAAGAGCAACTTTATCATAAAACCACCCCTGCTGGCTGCAAAACAAGTGGACACAGGCCAGGGTGAATCTGCCTTCCAATATCGAAAAGAAGAAACGGATGGCAGGACATAAAGACTCCGGGTCTAGGAAACGCGAGGCTGTCCTCTACCAGGCCCCTCCCGGCACCCCGCACCCCACACTAGTATAACTGGAAGCCTCTTTCGAACCACGGCACAGGAGCGCACGGGCGGGATCGGCGGCCGGTACAGGCCAGAGCTGCGGCAGCACGAGCCGGAGGAACGCTCCCCGCGCGGCCTCCCGTCCACTCCGCCCCTCCTCCCGCCGCCGCCCCAGGGCCTCTCTACAGTGGTCGCTTCTGCACGAATCCTCAGAGAAGAAAGGAGCTAAAAAGGTTTTACCTGGAGTCACTACTGAGACCGCTACCGGCCCGCGAAAACGAAGTGAAGCAGCAAGCGGCCCAGGCGCCCGCCACGGCGACCCTTCCCGACCCTACAGAACTCCCGGCGCGCGTTGATAATGTCACTTCCGCCAGTTCCGCCCTCGGCTTCCACAGGCAGCTCAAGCTGGAGCGGCGGCCATGGGAAGTGCGGGTATGCGTCACTTCCTGTGTTTCCTTGGGAACTCGGCTTATGGGAAACAAGGGGCGGGGCGGAGTTCTTCAGGCTTCCTGGTGAGGCCACCCAGCCAGAGCATTTTGTGATTGGTCGTTGCTAGACGTAGGCAAGATAATGATTTTTAAATGTTGACTGTTTAAATTGACTAGCAGTGTGACATTTAGCAAGCTACCAGACCTCTCCGCCTCAGTTTCTTCGTCTGTAGGATGGAGTAATAATAGCACTTGTCCTCTAAGGACATTGTGAGATGAATTAAGGAAATGCACGAACAGTGCTTGACACATGGTAAGCACTCAGTGCATGTTAGCTTTTCTCAAACGTGTAGAATGGTAAGAAAAACAAAAACAGCCTTGTTTACAGATTTGATTGTATTTTAATTCTGCTGCTACCATCTTATGCAGTCTTTTCACATTTGTCACAAAGAGATTATAAGTAGTTGGACTTCAGAGTACCTCTCCTATGGTTCATTTAGGCACAATCACATGTTGTAATGCTTGTTAATTTACTTCCTTGGTATTTCATATAGTCAATGAGGTGGTGAGTTCCTTAAGGATAGGAAATATTTTATACATTTTTTGGTATCCAGTACAGTACCTGAATAAGTACAATACTTCTCTGTTCATAACCATCAAAGAAATCCTTTGTTTTATCCTTTGTTTGTTTACAGTAAAATATGGGGAAAGTTTTAATTTAAAAAGTACTTTTCAAAAATCTTTTCTGCTTCCAGGATTGCATGTATATATCAGGTAGGCCATCCTATATTAGCCAATAGCTTGCTTGGTTTTTTAAAATAACATTTTAAAACTGTAAAATATATTCATATAAAGAAGTACCTAAACACATGTATAGATTAACAGATAGTATTAAATCAGGTGAAGAAACCCAGTATTGCCAGCACTGGAACCCCCAATCCATGCCCAGCCAAACAGGCCCTTCCTGCTGTGTAATCCTAAAGTATCAAGTACGTATTCTTTCGCTCAACGTTATAATCCATGTTAACGTGCCTCCCCTCTAGCTGAAGTGGGTTCATTTTCTTTGCTGTGACACACTCCTCTGTTGCTTTATCCATTCTGCTCTTACGGACATTTGGCTCATTTCCAATTTGGGGCCATCAGGAACAATGCTTTATGAACATTCTTGCACATGTGTTTCTGCCAGGGTACATACCTCGACGTGGAACTGCTGGGTCATAAAGTGTGAATTTTCAACCATGCCAAGTGACGCTAATCCGTCTTGGAAATGTGGCTGTATCAATCTCCATTCCAATAGAGTATTCCAGTTTCCGTTGCTCCATAGTTTTGCCAATTTCCTTGTAAGGTCAGACTTTAAAATTCTTGTTCATCAGGAGTGATTTCGAATGTTCTGAGGGGAGAGAAAGTCTTTACCTGTCAGCTCCCTCGGAAGAGCGGGCGCCGGTTACCGACAGGTAGGCGAGGGCGCTGGCCTCCAGGAGCCGCGACGTGGGCGAGATAGAGCGGCCGGAGGCAGTCTGCGGAAGCCGGACGTGACGCAACTTCCGCCCGGCCGGGCCGCCATTCTCGTCGTGAGACAGCAGGAGCGGAGCCGTGCGATGCTGTCCGCCGCCGCCGCGTACTCGGGACCTGGCAGAGACCTGGCCATGGAGCCTCACGGCGTCGCGGGCCCTTTGCAGCTGCGCTTTTCGCCCTACGCTTTCAACGGAGGGTAAAGCCCTGCGGGCGCTGCTTCCTCTTCGCCCCCTGCGTCCCTGCCCAAGCTTTTGGCGCGGCCGCCCGGCGCTGCCCCGCCGCCCGCAGGCCTCCCTCTCCGCGGTGGCTCGTTCGGTCTTGTTCCTCAGGGCTTCGCCTTCCAGGCCGGTCACCGGTCTCGATGTGGACCGTCGAGTGTGCGTACCCTGCTCTTCGCTGCAGTGAGACAGTAGATTGGCGCGGAGACCTGGCATCTGCTCTAGAGGAGCTTTAAACATGGGCCTAGCCTTTCCTTAGTGCCTGGACGAGTTTCTCGCGCCAGCAGGCGAGGGGCAGGTTGAGTATCTGAGATTAAAGAGTTAGGATTGATTGGCCGTGTCGTTAGATGTGGTTGTGTCTGTGGCTGAAAGAGCTGATCCACAACTTAATCTTTTCTCTTATTTTAAATAGCAGGGAGGATTAGTTGGCCGGACTTAGTTTCATAGATCAGTGCTTGTTTTTAAGGTTAGCGGAAGTTTAGAGGGGAAAAAAATACTCAGAAAGGGGACCTTTGAATACGTATATTCTTGAGTGTTGCATTCAGGTTGTCTTCCTTTTTACTTACCGGCTTTATCTTAAATGATGCTTGTCCTTGATAGTACACTAAAAGAATGAGAGTTGTGGAAAGACACTGTGTTTAGGGCTCCTAACAAGGAAAAACTTTATATTTAAGGAGTGTTTATAGTTTACCAACCAGACTTTGTGCATTAAAACATATCCAATTAGAACAAACAGTTGATCCTTTATGATAACCAGGTTAATTAATCAGGTCCTTATGGTTTTGAAATTTTAATGTAGGTTTTTGGTTGCAAAGAGAGTGGAAGGCTGTGATTTTAGCCTTGTTTCTGCCACTAAAGGGCAGTGTGATCTTTGGGTACCTCTCAGCTTCTAGAATCCAAATTTCCTTATTTTCCTTAACTGCCCATAGTTTGGGAGAGAATCAAAAAGAAGCATTTTGTAAATTGAAAGCAGTTATCTTTTTTAATCCTCATGATAACTGAATGCTAGGTGGTATATGCCTCAGTTTTACAAATGAACCTGGGCCCTTAGAAATTTCATTAGTCACGGAGCTGGTGTGAAGTTGAGCCCCAGGACTTGACTCTATAGCTCATTTGCCACTGACTTTATGTATGCTTTTACGATTGCTCTTTTAAATATTTCCTGTGACAGCTAATGAAGTAGTTATATCATAAGTTGGGTTTTTAAACGCATTTCATGAGTTCTGTATAAGACTTGTAAGGTGTTCAGTATTCAGTACTCATTACTTTGATATTTATTGCTGCTGGCTCTTGGGCAGCCTTTGCTTCCACAAAATAAGACTTAGTCCTGTATCTTTTCCTGTTCAGACTAAATGTGGTTAAACTCCAAGTGACTGGCCTCCACATTTATCACTGAGCACTCTCACATGTCTCATTTATGGGATGATATTCCCAAATCTGTTTCTCCAGTTTTCCCCTCGATTCTGGCTTTTTAAATAAAACATTTGCACCTGGGTTTTCTGCTCTCACCGTAACTCAGGGTGTTAAAACAGACAGCAGGCTAAGTATTCCTCTCAGTCACTTCTTTGACTCCTTACGATTGTGCCTTCATGCTGCTCCTCACAGTTTAAAACCTTGGTTGTCAAAATTGGCTCTTCCACCTTCTAACACATTTTGATAATTACAATTTGTGTGTTTCTGGCTTTTGGATTTACCTGTTTCTTCCTGTTCACGTTGCTGCCTTCCTATTGCATTAGTCTTAATGGAACACTTTCCCCCTATTTCACATGTAGTTCATACATTGTTACTGCTGCAGTGGTCTCCCTGAAACTGCTTTGCCAGTGGAACTTCTTTCAGTCTTGCTCATATAACCTTTATGGTTCCTCACAGGAATTCCAAAATCTTTACTTTTACCTTTGGGATTTCCTACAGTTGGATTTCTACCCATCACATAAGCCTTATGTCACACCACTTGTGTACACAGAAAGGGACACCTGAGTTAAGTTGTTGGACTAATAACTTTTCCTTTATTCACTGTTCATGTTATTTAGAATGCCATCCTTTTCTCCTTGGGAGCTGTAGTGCCATCCCACCTCAGAAAAAATTACAGCTAAAGTTTTCTGAGTGGTTACATTCTGTGAGGCATGGCGCTGGGTGCTTTATGTGGATTACGTCACTTAACTCGGTCACCTGGTAACACAAGAACTGCTAATGTCATCGATTTGAACTTGGATAGTTTGTTCAAGGTCACAGAGCTGTTAACTGGCAAGGACAGGTCTCAGGTAACTCCAGAGCCCAGATTCTCAGTGATCACATGCTGCTACACCCTGCTGCCTCATACGTGTGCCACAGGATCAAGCTAACTTTTACTGGAGGACCAATTATGTTTCAGGCACTAGTACAAGGGCTTAACAATTATTAACTCATTTAATTCATGTAACACCCTAATAAGGTAACTACTGTTGTGATCTCTGACCTACATAAGAGGACATTGAGGCCTTGGAAAATTAAGCAGTGTACCTGCAGCCTCTCGCTAAGCAGCAGACCCATACCCAGAGCCCAGACAGTCTGCTTTTAGAGCTGGTGCTCTAGGCCTCCAGGGACTGCTTGCGTGAGTCATACAACCACAGAGAGAAACGTTTGTTCTTTGTTGGTCCATTTTCCAGCAGATTTGGGTGTCTCCTGAGTGCTGAGGGCTTGGATATAAAGAAATGGAAAACACTGAATCCCTCTTCCCTGAGCTCAGATAGCTTGTGTTGTGGTACCACTGCCTACACCTGACCTCATGGGCAGGGCCATGGCCTTCGGCTGTTTTATAGTATCAGTAGATGTTTAATTAAAAAAATATTTTTAAAGTTTTTCTAAAATTTTTTTCTTTTTGGGGGGGAGGTAGTTAGGTTTGTTTACTTATTTATTTAATTACTTATTTTTAATAGAGGTGCTGAGGATTGAACTCTGGACCTTGTGTATGCTAAGCACATGCTCTACCACTGAGCTATTACTTCCCCCCAGATGTTTAATTTTTGATGACTGGTGATCATTCAGTGGTTTTTCCGTTAACTTCTGCTAAGAGAACTTTGCTCTGATTCAGGCTTGTCTTTTAGGGAGCACTTAATATTTTTTTTCCAGACGACTTGTGGCCCAGGGATCTTTTCCCCCGAACTTTCCTTTTCCATCTGGACCTTGCACTCGCGTACATGTAGTAGATTTTATCTTAGGATATGCTGTGGAGCATTCTCATGTTGGGAGAGGTGTTATTACCACCCAGAAGCATTCATTTTTTTTTTTTGTCTCTCTTTTTCCCTCAGTACTGTACTGGCAATTGCTGGAGAAGATTTTTCAATTGTTGCTTCTGACACTCGCTTGAGTGAAGGGTTTTCCATTCACACACGGGACAGCCCCAAATGCTAC